ATTTTAAAAATAAATTATTCAAATAATATCAAATATTGATATATGATTTAATATATTGATATTTTTCCCCTCAAATAAATTTAAATTATTATTTTGTTCTTATTTTTTAAGTATCTACACAAAAATTTCAAAATTTATTGTTTTTCCTTAACTTAAAATGAATTATTATTTGCTAATAGATTTTAATCCATAATGAAATCTACTTGTTTTCATTTAATTAAAGTATTTGCTTATCATAATTATTGTAAAGTTAAATATTGTAAATAAAATTTATTTTAAACATCTTTATTGTTTCATAACTTTGAGATTTCAAGTTATTAAAATTTTAAATACTTAATAAAATGAAATGAAAGATAGAATTAATTAATTAATTTTAATTGAAAATAAGATATCAAAATTCAATAATTAAATTAAATAAAATTGCAAAATTAAATACTTAAAAGTTAAAATTTAGAAATTAATTCTTAATCATTACAGAAATTAATTAATTGGCCCCAAATTCTTCCTTTATTTTTGCTACCCAATTCATGAAAATAAAAGTTAATTTTAAAGTTGCTAATATAATTTTGATATAATTTAAAAAAATATTTACAGTAAATTCTTATAAATTCAGACATTAATTTAAAGAAATATTAGAAGAAAAATTTTAATATTTTTATATTATTATAAATAAGCACTTTTTAAAATGTTTAGCACAATTATTCATTATTAACCCATTTATTAATTACTTTTCTATTTTCTTTTCATTATTTTCAACACATTCATTATTTATTATTTTCATAGGAATAATAATCTTGGTGCAGATAGAGCTAAGTACATTGGAATGAGCTTGGAGAAGTGCCAAAATATAACATCTTTGAATCTGAATCTCTCGTAATTTAACTTACTATCAATTTATTTAGTCTATTTTAATTAATACATTTGTGAAATTTTAACTGAAAAACAAATATAAATGGGTTTGGAAAATTAATTGATTGATTGATTCACAACTCATAAATTATTTTTGATTTTTTTGTTTAATTTTTGTGCATCTAAATTTATTTATTAGCGAATTTAAACAATTATTTCAATTAATTGCATCAAAATAAATTAGCACTTTTTAATATGTTTAGCACAATTATTCATTATTAACCCATTTATTAATTACTTTTCTATTTCCTTTTCATTATTTTCAACACATTCATTATTTATTATTTTCATAGGCAGAATAATCTTGGTGCAGATGGAGCTAAGAACATTGGAATGAGCTTGGAGAAGTGCCAAAATATAACATCTTTGAATCTGAATCTCTGGTAATTTAACTTACTATAAATTTATTTAGTCTATTTTAATTAATACATTTGTGAAATTTAAACTGAAAAACAAATAAATGGGTTTGGAAAATTAATTGATTGATTGATTCACAGCTCATAAATTATTTTTGATTTTTTGTTTAATTTTTGTGCATCTAAATTTATTTGTTAGCGAATTTAAACAATTATTTCAATTAATTTCATCAAAATAAATAAGCACTTTTCAATATGTTTAGCACAATTATTCATTATTAATCCATTTATTAATTACTTTTCTATTTTCTTTTCATTATTTTCAACACATTCATTATTTATTATTTTCATAGGTAGAATAATCTTGGTGCAGATGGAGCTAAGAACATTGGAATGAGCTTGGAGAAGTGCCAAAATATAACATCTTTGAATCTCAATCTCTAGTAATTTAACTAACTATCAATTTATTTAGTCTATTTTAATTAATACATTTGTGAAATTTAAACTGAAAAACAAATAAATGGGTTTGGAAAATTAATTGATTGATTGATTGATTGATTCACAGCTCATAATTTATTTTTGATTTTTTGTTTAATTTTTGTGCATCTAAATTTATTTGTTAGAGAATTTAAACAATTATTTCAATTAATTGCATCAAAATAAATAAGCACTTTTTAATATGTTTAGCACAATTATTCATTATTAACCCATTAATTAATTACTTTTCTATTTTCATTTTCATTATTGTGCCAAAATATAACATCTTTGAATCTGAATCTCTCGTAATTTAACTTACTATCAATTTATTTGGTCTATATTAATTAATACATTTGTGAAATTTAAACTGAAAAACAAATAAATGGGTTTGGAAAATTAATTGATTGATTGATAGATTCACAGCTCATAAATTATTTTTGATTTTTTGTTTAATTTTTGTGCATCTAAATTTATTTATTAGCTAATTTAAACAATTATTTCAATTAATTGCATCAAAATAAATAAGCACTTTTTAATATGTTTAGCACAATTATTCATTATTAACCCATTAATTAATAACTTTTCTATTTTCTTTTCATTATTTTCAACACATTCATTATTTATTATTTTCATAGGAATAATAAGCTTGGTGCAGATGGAGCTAAGAACATTGGAATGAGCTTAGAGAAGTGCCAAAATATAACATCTTTGAATCTGAATCTCTCGTAATTTAACTTATTATCAATTTATTTAGCCTATTTTAATTAATACATTTGTGAAATTTAAACTTAAAAACAAATAAATGGGTTTAGAAAATTAATTGATTGATTGATTGATTGATTCACAGCTCATAAATTATTTTTGATTTTTTGTTTAATTTTTGTGCATTAAATTTATTTGTTAGCGAATTTAAGCAATTATTTCAATTAAATGCATCAAAATAAATAAGCACTTTTTAATATGTTTAGCACAATAATTCATTATAAACCCATTTATTAATTACTTTTCTATTTTCTTTTCATTATTTTCAACATATTCATTATTTATTTTTTTAGTTATTGGAATGATCTTGGTGCAGATGCAGCTAACAACATTGGAATGAGCTTAGAGAAGTGCCAAAATATAGCATCTTTGAATCTGGATCTCTCGTAATTTAACTAACTATCTATTTATTTAGTCTATTTTAATTAATACATTTGTGAAATTTAAACTGAAAAACAAAAAAATAGGTTTGGAAAATTAATTGATTGATTGATTGATTCACAGCTCATAAATTATTTTTGATTTTTTGTTTAATTTTTGTGCATCTAAATTTATTTATTAGCTAATTTAAACAATTATTTCAATTAATTGCATCAAAATAAATAAGCACTTTTTAATATGTTTAGCACAATTATACATTATTAACCCATTTATTAATTACTTTTCTATTTTCTTTTCATTTTTTTCAACACATTCATTATTTATTATTTTCATAGGCAGAATGATCTTGGTGCAGATGGAGCTAAGTACATTGGAATGAGCTTGGAGAAGTGCCAAAATATAACATCTTTGAATCTGAATCTCTGGTAATTTAACTTACTATCAATTTATTTAGTCTATTTTAATTAATACATTTGTGAAATTTAAACTGAAAAACAAATAAATGGGTTTGGAAAATTAATTGATTGATTGATTGATTGATTCACAGCTCATAAATTATTTTTGATTTTTTGTTTAATTTTTGTGCATCTAAATTTATTTATTAGCTAATTTAAACAATTATTTCAATTAATTGCATCAAAATAAATAAGCACTTTTTAATATGTTTAGCACAATTATACATTATTAACCCATTTATTAATTACTTTTCTATTTTATTTTCATTATTTTCAACACATTCATTATTTATTATTTTCATAGGTGGAATAATCTTGGTGCAGATGGAGCTAAGAACATTGGAATGAGCTTGGAGAAGTGCCAA